CAGCCTTTGGCTTAAGGAATGCAAAGAGCTCTGTCTCTGAGCAGAAATTCTTTTTTTGTTGTTGTTGTTGGTCACGGGGCTTGAACTCTGGGCCTGGGCACTGTCCCTCAGCTCTTCAGCTCAAGGAGAGTGCTCTACCACCTGAGCCACAGCGCCACTTCCAGTTTTCTGGTGGTTTATTGGAGATAAGTGTCTCACAGACTTTCCTTCCCCGGGCTGGCTTTGAACCATGATCCTCAGATCTCAGCCTCCTGAGTAGCTAGGATTACAGGTGTGAGCCACTGGTGCCTGGCTATGTCTGAATCACTGCCAAGGGTAGGGGAAAAGGTGGAGAAGAAGGAGGGCCAGTCCAGTATAACTCTATCTTTCTGCAGCTAAACTTTTTAAGTTGTAAGGAAATCCCTCGGTAAACTGTCTCCCTCTGATGCTGACTTAAGAAGACCAGCTTAGTTCATGGGGCCCTAAAAATGGGTCTGCCAGACTTCTCCCAGTGGGACTCCATCTCAGCTGACTCCTTTTGAAGTCACCTTTCTCAGGCACTAAGCAGGAAGCAGTGCATTGAGTTTAAGCAATAGGCCACTTACTAAGATCAACAGAAACACATGATGAACCATGTTGTTAACATTTGGATGTTTAAACCCAGAAAGGATTTTTTTCCCCTAAGAGGTTTTCCATCTTCTACCTCAGAATGATAAAAGAAAAAAAAAAAAAAGCCTTATCTGAGCTACGAGGCTGGTCTCCAGTGCCCAGGCCAGCGCTGTCCTACTTTAGCAATGTCTAGCTCTGTAGGTTGCATGCAATTCCCAGTTTCCTTCCAAAAAGTGTCTCAATCCTCACATGACCTCCAGCAATTTCTGCACTATTTGTCTGTCCTTCCTCACGCATGGTCTTCCAGACAATATGCTCCTGTTGATTTTTTTGGTGATGCTTTAAAAGTAGCTGTTACAAGTGAAATAATCTAGCAAATACTATTTTTCTATTTTTTTATAACAATGCAAATATCATGACTCAAAGAAAAAATAATGTTCCCTATCTGAAAGACAAAATCAATTACAACTCCAGGCAAGTAATTCATGGTCTCCAGCCCCCTTTTTGCAAGACTGAGGTTTGAACTATGGGCTCTTTGTGCCTGCTAGCCAGGAGCTCTCCTGCTTGAGCCATACTTCAGCTCTTTTGTTCAGGCTGTGGTGCCCAGGGTCTATAATCCCCCATTTATGCTTTTGGTGTAGCTGGGATAAACAGGCACACACGACCACACCCTGTCTTTTCTGTGGAGATGGAGCCTGGAGAGCTTTTTGCTCAGGCTGACCTCAAATCACAGTCCTCCTATCTCTGCCTCCCAAGTAAGTAGGATAAGTACCACCATTGTTTAGCTGTGGTTCCCATTTTCATTATGTGCTTCGCAAGCTTTCTCAGTATGCCTTTAGCAAAGGGAAAGCCAGAATCCTACTCTGTGAGAAGCTTGGGTGGGAGATGGAGAGAAAAGAGCTAGAGTTAATCATGTTACAGAAGAACAATGCTTGATATTAGACATTGAGATGTAACTGGTGAAGTCCTTTTATTATTTTATTTTTGTGCTAGTACTGAGGCTTGAACTCAGGGCTTGGGCACTGTCCCTTAGATTTTCACTCCAGGTTGATGCTCTACCACTTGGTGGTTAATTGGAGACAGGCGTCTCACAGACTTTCCTGATTAGGCTGGCTTTGAATAGCAGTCCTCAGATCTCAGCCTCCTGAGTAGCTAAGATTAAGGGGTGAGCCTCCAACATCCAGCCTAAAGTCCTTTGAAAGGCAGAATTTTTTTTAAGATTTTCAACTGTAGGCTAAACACAAATTACTTGTTTTTAGTAAGGAGAAACTTAAGTAGTTTTGATAATGGGGTTGGGAGTCAAGGGGTGCAGCATTGAGGGGGTGGTGAGAGGGATGCAAGGAAGTAGCTTAGAATGTGACTCAAAACTCTGCCCCCCTCCCTTTCCAGCCCACAGAATTGCTCCCCATAACTTGTCAACCAGGCCAGGGCAAGCTGGCATCAGAATATCACCGCGGGATCCCTACACTTCTAAATAGAGAAAGTCTAGAGAAGAAGTCCAAGTCTAGAAGTCAAGAAGCCCTGGGTTCTACCACTGGAGAAGCTGTAGGCCGTGACCTTGTAATCTTTCAGGCCTGTGCTTTCATTTCCTCCCGGAAGTAAACACCTCCACCATTGTTTCAGGAGTACAGTGAGTTAAGCAGCACACAAGCATCCTGTTAAAAAGGGCTTATGTGTTTGTGACAGGGTAGCTGGCACTGAGTGGCAGAGGAAGGGACCAGAACACCAAGGGCCACAGTGCACTCTACAACCTCACACAGAAGTCACAAGCAGGTATTTTAGTTTGCCAAATGTGTGCTGAGTGTCTACACTACCAAGAAGCTTAGAAAACTTCATCTGCCCAAGATGGCAACCAGGTGTTCGAAAGAGGCTGGAGCCTAGGTAGAGACCCCTACCCTACAATTCTGCTGAAGGGAACCCCTGCAGGAGGGAGCTGTATGTGACATCAGTGCCACAGGTGTAAACAAGTGAGTGGTGGATCGGGGTCCTAGATTGGAATCTAAAACCCTGGTTCTCTTTCTTCCTATAGATGAGGTGGTGTCTGGCCTGGTGCTGCTCTAGCCAGCGTGCTTGGGAAGGCCGGTTTGCCTGCTCTTGTCACTTGCTCTCAGAGTCCACTGTGTACTAAACACAACCAGGCCAGTCTTCCTAACACCACAGGCTCTGGCAACCCTACAAGAGCCGGCCCAGGAACACCTACCAACCATGAGTTGCAGGGCCGTGCCATTCCGGAGCAAGCTCACCACAAGCCCGATCTTGCACACAGTAAGACACAGTGAGGCCCAAGATCACTCTGGGGCTCTTACAAATCAGAACAGGTAGAGCTGAGGAACCTGAGGACACAGGCCTCAGCGTAGGAAGAAAGCGGAAGAGCGAGCGTGCAACTGGTGCAAAGCCCAGGGCCCTTGTGCTGTGGGCTTACTTCCCCGAGTGCTGGCTGTGGTCCCAGACAGTGCCTGAGGAGAGGCAGAGGCACAGAGCCTTGCGCCCTGGGGAGACATAGATACTGCCTTCCCCACACCCTCTCTGTCAAGGAAACGTAGCAGCAGTTTTAAAGCAAATCTGAGTGATGATAACACTAGCACCAACTCTCTGCCTTTAGCTTCCTAGCCTCTGTCTTGGATATTTCACCTTCTCTTGCAGCTGGCACACTACAGCTTGACAACATTCATGTTGCTCTTACTCCAGCTGGACTCAGGGCAGGTTCATAAGTGAGTTAGCAGAGCAGTGAGACACCCACCCAAAGGCAACTCAAGGGGATTTATGGCTCCAGATGGTCTATGGAAGCTGGTGGCTCACCCCTGTAATCCTAGCTATTCACAAGGCTCAGATCTGAGGACTGCAGTTCAAAGTCAGCCCAGGCAGGAAAGTCTCTAAGACTCTTATCCCCACTTAACCAAAAAGCTGGAAGTAGAGTTATGGCTCAAGTAGTAGAGCGAGCATTAGCTTTAAGAAAAAGAGCTTGGGGGCAGTGTCTAAGCCCCAAGTTCAAGCCTCAGAACTGGCATACACACACACACACACACACACACACACACACACAAACAATGGTCTATGAAAGCTGGGATTGATGGAGCATGCCTATAAATCCAGGACTGTGATGCCTAAGACAGAGGAATCACAAGTTCAAGACCATCCTGGCCACTTGTGAGTTTGAGGCAGTTCTGGGCTACATAGGAAGAGCCATTCTCAACCCCTATCCTTCAAAAACTGATGGTATATAGAACACAAGAGGCTCCAGGCACCCCATACTGCCGTCACAAACCCACATGGAAATAAGAGCCAAGGAATGAAAGTTATACAACCACGTAGACAGAGGATGGAGAAAAGGCAACAGCAGGCTAGGGATCCCATTCCATTTGTACCAGGAACAGAACTGATCAGAGAAATGAGCAGAGTCAAGCAGGGTAGGAAGGAGCCTGGTGCCAGGTGCCTGCAGGGGGCAGCACTGAGACATCTTGGGCTGTAGCATCCAAGACAGACTTGGGAATAGGGATGGGGAAGGTGGGATAAGAGCTAGAAACATGGGCATTTGTCCATTCTCAGGCCTCTTTCCCTTCCTATGAAGTCAGATGACCACACTGCCCCTACTCCATGAAGGACGATGGAGAAGCTCCAATCCAGAGACGACACACATGGCAAGGCAGGAGCATTCACTGGTGATGACACTGGCCTGTCCAGCTGCCAAAATTCTGCACCAGGGTCTCCGGTCCTGTCATACAGTCTGTGCGCTGCACAAAGGCACCCGGACAAGATGGCAAGTGGGAGTTTAGATCTGGCATCTGCTCTGTTCTTCCAGCTTTGCCCGAGGTCTCAGATGTATGTGCCCAGAATGGGGGCAGTTGGCGATCAAACCAAGTGCCCAGGAGTGGATTCTGCCCAGAAGGAATAGTTTTATTGAAATCACACAAGGACAGTGCATGAACATTGCATATCCCTTTTCTAGGGCAAGGAGTAATGGAAAGATGTCACAGCAATTGAAGGAACTCCAGAGAAAAGATGTGCAAATGTTGACAGACAAATCCAAAAATTTCATTAGCTGACACCTCCTCACTCCCGGTTAGCTTTGAGTCTTAACTCTTAAACATGAACAGATACACACAACCACCCAGTACTTGAGAAAAGCTTGTAACAAGGAAGAGTTCAGACCAACCAAGAGAAATGAAAACTGGAGGAAACAAAGACAGCACAGGGAGTGATTTCTTCAAACCCCCCTCAAGTACATCCACAGAGAGGCAAGACCTGAAAATCCCAGAATCAGCAGCAGGACACAGTTCTGGGGATTAAATAAAACATTCATATTGGGAAAATATAACCCAATAAGTTTCCTGAAAGCAGATAAAGAGAGATGAGAAATTTAAAAAGAGATTTAAAAAGATATTAGAGGATTAGCCAGAGAAATCCAACATTAGAACAGTGGTCCACAAGAAAGAATGTAAATAATTACAAGAAAACAGAAAAAATTTCCCATGAGACAAAGGACACCACCACCAAGGGTAAAGACAGGAAGTTCTTTCAAGGGAGGGAGGGAAACCCAGGTCACACACAAAGGCACTGGAAGCTGAACAGTGACAGAAATCTCAACCACCACCATTGGGGAAAGTATAATTTCCACCTGCTTCTATCTCAGCCACGCTGGGTAAGGGCAGAAGACCTTTTCTTCTGTTTTTTTGTTTTTGTTTTTGGTGGTACTGGAAATTGAACCCAAGGCCTTCACTTGCTAGGCAAGACTCTACTAGCTTAAGCTACTCTGTCAGACCCTTTCTGTATTGGTTATTTTCTAGGTAGGGTCATATTTTATGCCTGTGTCAGCCTGGACTGCGATCCTCCTATTTGTGCCTCTCCATACGTAGGAGGATCACAGTTGTTGGGGATGACATGTACATGCCACTGGGACCTACCATTATGCTTACCCTGGAATAAGGGTAAGCATAGCACCGTGCCCAGCCATGGGTTGAGATGAAGTCTCCCAAACTTTTCTGCTCACACTGTCCTGAAATTGTTCTCCTAACCGCCACCTCCTAGGATGCTAGGATTATAGGCTTGAACCATAGTACCCAACCTGAGAGACATTTTAAGACATTCAAAAGAAAAATCTCAAAATATTTATACTACTACTTATATCCAATGCTGCCTCTCAGAACGTTTCTAAAGAATGTGGAGAGAAAAAAGGGGGACAACAGTACACGACTTAGCTAAGACATGCTCAAGGCAGCATCCACAAGGAATGGGGACTGAGTTTCGGGGTCTCACTGTAGGGTACCTTCGTCTATGACTAGAAAGCCAGTGGATGTTTGGAAACTAATTAAAAAGCATGTCACGTAGAAACACAATGGGAAATAGAAGAAACAGCTACAAGTATTGAATTGCTTCTTAGTAAGACTTGGGGTTGGCTAGTTCTCATTAACATCATGCGTGTTAAAAAGACACCAAGCAATAGGGGGATTCACTCAAGCAGCCTTCTTCTATATCCAGTCTCTTCTAGCTAAGCCTGCATTCAAATGAGACTTACTTTTTCCTTTTAAAAAGAGTCCATTTTCTGAACCAAATGACTCCTAGGCACCTTGCCAATTGATGTTTTTAAAAGTGTTACAAATTATATAAAATAGAGAAGAGAGGGCCACCAGATTCTTTTTGGAGAAGGTCTAGACCTGTAAAATGAAGGCACTGCTCTTGGGTCAAGTCTTCTTTGGTCTCTAATTTGGGTGAGGACTGCACGGTGTCCAGGGTTTCAAAGTGTCACGTGGATAATCTCTACGATCTGTACCCTGGAGCTTCCGGTCCTGCCCTCAAGCTCAGCAATTAGCACATTTTCCCTGGGGTCCTTGGTGTTTGGGATGGACTCACTCCAAGTTCCCTCGGCCTTGGGAGGCTGAGATTTTATCAGGGAGGGGAAGGCAGCCTAGAATCAGATTGGCTTAAAGGGACAATACACTAGCTAGGCTGCAATCCCGTTAAGTTTGCTCAAAATTAACAAGGCCTTGGCTTACTGCTAGGAAGGAGCGATAGTGTCCTGGAGTGAGAACAATGCAAATGTCAAATCATAAGCTCTACAGCTGTCAATGATATTCCAGAAGGAGTAAGAGGAGAGGCTGAAAGTAAATAAAACTTCTGCATGGAGAGGGAAAACAAAACTATAAAACCTCACATGTAAGCCAGAACCAGGGGTTGAAGGCTGGCCTAACATTTTTGGTTTTGTTTGAGGAGGTCATTTTAACCTTTTTGTTTCTGTTTTGGATGCACGTACAGCTAGTGGAAGATGTTTCTCACAGCAAGTGACAGCTTTGGGCTGGGTATCAGATGGCTTGAAGGGTCATGGGCATCCTGCCTCTCTGGGATGCCGTAAGCAAGATGCTCCCAGAGGCTCTGCTCATGTTTATTGGTATATAAGAGCTGCCTGCTACATGCTTTGGGGAAGCGGGGAGGGAAAGAGCCAATCCACAGTCTTCATTATGTGAGTCTTTACAGAGAAGAGAGTATAGCATGCATGGGGCCCTGGGTTTGATTCCTCAGCACCACATAAGCAAAAAGAAAAAAGCCAGAAGTGGCGCTGTGGCTCAAGTGGTAGAGTGCTGGCCTTGAGCTGAAGAGCTGAAGGACAGCACCCAGGCTCAGAGTTCAGGCCCCACAACCGGGACCCCCCCCCCCAAAAAAAAAGAAAGATCTGGGGCTGAGGAAGGTGGGAGAGTGGGAGATATACTTCTTTCTTCTCTCAGAAACCTGCTCTGGTCTGCTCACCAGGCTATGCTTTCAGAAAGCCTCTGTAAGAAATCCACTACAACCCACTGCAAAGGATGCTGGTGCCAAGGGGCATCCTGAGACCCCAGTGCCTGAGCAGCAGCCGGTGGACCCCGCCCAGCTCCAGTACCAGCACCTTGGTTCCTCATCCAGCCCCTTCTTCTAGGGGCTCATCTCAGTGCTCTGTGGGGCTTTCCAGGTCTGCACAGAAAGCTCAGAAAAGTGAGAGAGTGTCTTGGGCCTACCCTATCCATCCAGAGCTCTGATTTATTATTATTATTATTATTGTTTGCCAGTACCAGCAATTGAACTCAGGGTCTGGACACTGTCACTTAGCTTTTTCACCCAAAACTGGCACTGTACCACTTAAGCCACTTCCAGTTTTGCAGGTTAATTGGAAGTCTCAACCGACTTTCCTTTCCACAGCTGGCTTGGAACCTTGATCCTCAGATCTCCACCTCCTGAATAGCTAGGATTACAGGCACCCCTCTCAGGTTTCATTTGACAGGAGGATCCCACCGGTAGAAAAGGCTAGACAATCAGAGCCTTACCTCAATCCAATCAGAGCAAAAGGGAACTAAATATGCAATCCACATCCCCAAGACAAAAACGAAGATCTGTGACATACAACAAAGCCTCCCCGCTCTTCCCTGGAATCTCCAATTCCTGCCAATTCCCAAATATATGCTGTCTGGGAGTCACAAAGCTGGGATGTGGATTTCCCCCAGATAATCAACTCCTTGCTAGGCTTTAAGCACATCCGCTTTCCACCCGTCCCTTCCCTCCCCACCTCTACCCCTTCACAGACCTGCTTCCGAGGATACTGTGACAGCTTTCTCAGTGATGGGGACTGGGCATGGGTAACCACATTTTCTCGTCAGGGAGAATCCACCTCCCCCCCCCCCCCCCCCCCGACCTGAAACACAAGTCTCTCCGGTTCCTCCAGAACCTTCAAGAACTACATGGTTCATGAGCTAAGATCTAAGCATAGACTGCATATTAATAAGAATGATAACCGTCTAACTGAGCAAGGCACACAGAGGCAAAACCCACCTAAGGGTCCAGTTGCAAACCTGAGTTCAGAGTACATAACCAACAAAGGAAAGCATGCTCCCCAGTCTTCGGGAAGAGAAAGAGGAAATGGAGATAAAGCAAGATCCAACAGGGGATGGGTTGGGGGGGGGGGCGGGTCATGGGGAGAGCTTCAACTGTCCACAACCCTGAACAGAAAATAAAATGAAGTTTTTTTTAAAAAAAGACCCCACCCCTGCTTGGGGTCCTGTCTTTTTATTCTCCAGACACGCACATCAGAGCCGGTTCATATCAAGCTGTGGGAAGAGCAGCAGGCAGTAAACCAGGAGCCAGAGGAAGAGAATGAAATACATCACATCTGGCTGCTGGACAAGCTGGGTCAGAGAGTCACTCTGCGGGCTCTGGCTCCCCTGCAGCATGGCTTCTCCAGAGTGGTTGGCCTTCCTGCAGAGAGGAAGGAAAGACAGACACTGCAGTTACCAGCATGGTCCACAGATGGACAGTGGACCATACCCTGCACCACTGGACAGCTCCGCCCACATCCCACCTGCAGAGTGGAGAGCTTCCCATGATGCGCTGGGGGGAGGAAAAGAGGCCTCCCCCCACCTCCCTACCCCCAGGCCATCTTAGGCTGAGGAGCAGCAGAAGCTGCCAGCCCCATTGCAGAGATGGGGCATCCTGACATTCACGGCACCTGAGTCAGTCCCCAGGGACGCCCCCTTTATAACCCAAAGCTCACCATAAGGAGAAATTAGGCCCTGAGAGCTCTCAGTCATCCTGGGATCATGGAGAGGACTTTGCAAGCCATTGGGAGGAACACAGAGCACCCCAATGACAGGTAAGGCACATTTCAAAACAGCCACTGGAGACAGAGCCGTCCTTTCCGGTCTGGTCTATGTGAATTGGGCCGATTTACCTTGTATTTCACAGGAAGCACCTGACTTTAAAAGGATATCTTTGCTTTTGCCTTGGTAGGTAACAAGAGTGCTGGCTGAAGAGTTTGGAATGGGGTAGGGTGGGAAACCAACCTCAGACCCAAAAGTCTAAGAGGAGAAAGGGGGAGGGGGAAGAGAAAGGGGAGGGACTCCTGTAGCAAAGCCTGGAGTGTTAGCATCTTAGGGCCAACTTCTGGACCACACTCTCCCTGAACCATCTCCTGCCCACTGAGGGGTGAGAAGGAGGCTTCAGCATTTGCCACCATCTACAAACAGAGGAATACATGCATGTACCAGCCAACCAATACGACTTTCCTGTCTTAAAAAATGCCTATAGGGGGCTGGGAAGGTGGCTCAGTGGTAGAGCGCTTGCCTTGCATGCCTGAGGCCCTGGGTTCGATTCCTCAGCACCACATAAGCAAAAAGAAAAAGCCGGAAGTGGTGCTGTGGCTCAAGTGATAGAGTGCTATCCTTGAGCTGAAGAGCTGAGGGACAGTGCCCAGGCCCAGAGTTCAGGCCCCACAACTGGACCCCCCCCCCAAAAAATGCCTATAGGTAATATCATGTTTTATTTCCAAAGTGATATATACTCAGTGCAGAAAACATGCCCACACTGATGAAGGTCACAGGTTCAACTGTCAACATGTCTCATAAAAGCCAAAAATTATGTCCTGCTTAGCTGAAAACTTGAATTCTCATTTGCATTTGGGGCAGGGAAGGAAAGTTATCTTGCTTCTTTTTTGTGTGCCAGTCCTGGGGCTTGAACTCAGGGCCTGGGTGCTGCCCCTTTTACCCAAGGCTGGTGCTCTACCACTTGGGCCACAGCTCCAAGTGTAATCCTTTGGTAGTTAATTGGAGATGAGAGGCTCATGGTCCTGCCCAGGCTGCAAACCACAATCCTCAGATCTGTCTCATGAGTAACTAGGAGTATAGGCAGGAGTCATGGGCATCTTGCTTTATCTTGGTTCTTATTTAAGGAGTCAGAGTGGCCCACACTCCTGGGTCCTGAGCAATATTCAGAAATGGGCCTCTAATTCCAGAAATCAAAATCCTTCCAAGCCAATTCGAGTCTATGACAAAGGATGGGAGGAAGAAAAGGAGGGAGAGGAAGGCAGAAGAAAGAAAGGAAGGGAGGGAGGAAGGAAGGAAGGAAGGAAGGGAAGGAAAGGAAAAACTAAGCAACACAATGATTTTGGCAGGGACGGGGACTTGTGTGTATGTGAGATACTTTTCTGGTTTCCTATGTTCTAAACAGGCTGTTTTACGGCAACTCAGCCAGCTAGTTCTCCAACGGTAAGAAATACTTTCATAGATATCCTGGTATGTTTGCATTCCCTCTTCATGTCTGCTCTGATGCCATAGAACTGTAAAATGAGCTCAGTGAGCTTCTGAGTATTGTACCTGCAGTGGGACAGAAGAGACATGGTCATCAGGGACTACAGAAAACTACCACGAGACTTCCCCTCTCCTGCCTGGCTCCATGTTTCCTAAGTCTGCAGCTGTGATATGGCAGAAAGCTCCAAAACCCAGACCCCTGGCACACCCACTCTGTGGGTAGCTGCTGGCACACCCTCTTGCCCCTTTCCCCATCCCCCACACTGAGTTGCTATTCATTTTCCCTGCCAACCCTTTTCATTCTCCCAAATCATTAATAATGACACCCACAAAGCCTAGCTGACAACCTTCCACACCAAGTAGGCAGGCCCAAGTCACCAACCTGTTTAACATTCGATTCCTTCTGTCATCCACATCTGCTGCATTCCTCAATTGGACATAGCTAAAATGGTCCTACAGTGAAATTTATAAACAAAACCCCGCAACCCAATTAGTAAAGATGAAATCTCTGAAACAGAAAACAAGATGATTTTAAACACACAAAGCCGAACATGCCATGCTTTTCTTGATACTGTAAACAGCTAGTTCCAAAATTAAAACACTAAACAAGTGACATTCACCACCCTCCTACCCACTGGTGATTGGGACAGGCCCACCCCCACCCCCCACCAAGCCCTGACCAGTGCTGGCATGCCAGCGGTTCCCAAGCACACATCTGGGGCCTAGACACTTGTAACTGTCAAGAGGACCCTTTCAATGCAGTCCGTCTAGGCACAAGTGTGGGGGTAGAGGGAGGTGTCTTGCGCTCATTTATATAATGAAGAGGCTTTGGGGCTTTAAAATCAACACTTTATTTACATCCCTTATTGCCCGAAACTGGGATATCCAAGTGGACTGAACTTAATGACAAGGTTTCAATGTGTTTGTCTTCTATCCAAAAGTACAGGTGCTGCACTTCAGCTCTAGGCTGGGGAGGAGGAAGGATGGAAAGGCATTGATTAGCAGGGCCCAAAAAGGAGGAGAAATTCACATACTAACCGTTTCCAAAGACCTATTACTGTGCCGCCGAATGTAAATGCTGGAATCACTGTGGCTAGTCCTGAAAGACAAAGATATACATCCTGTTAGTACCAGCTGGGGCTTCCTCGGGGCTCCATGATGCAGTTACCTTCCACAACTACACTGAGTTGAGCCACTGACATCAGACCCAGAAACTTGCACCCAATGTGTCCCACTTTGTTGGAATGCACCTGGAGATGAAGTGGGCCCTCATCTACATGAAAGCACTGGATTCTGGATGGATTTTTAATTTCCAGTATGTGCTTCCTGGGGTCTGGGTTTGACCAAACATCTATTCCCAGGATTTGGTCTTCTTCAATCCCAAAATATGCTGATTGCTCCTAGCTGCAATCACAGCATCTACTTGAAGCAACACTGTCCCCAAGAGACGGTGCCTTAAAGGAGTTTACCTTCTCCCCACACTTCTGTGATGTTTCCTAACAAAGCAGCGCTTCCTGCTGGGCAGGGACCCTGCTCTTCCCTCTCTGTCCTCCACAGGAAATTTGGTTCTTTTAGCATGAGTTTGGCTGTGCATTCATCTTGACTATCAAGAGTCTCCTGTGTGTCAGGAGCCAGGCGAGGTCCCCAGGCCCATCTCCTGCCATCATGCATTCCTTCCTTCCTGCATTCCTCTACCCAGAGAATAGCCACTAAATGCCAGCTGCAGCCAGGGCTGTGCTAAAGGCTGGGCTATGTTGGAGAGCCCTCCATTCAGACCCTGCCTTCACAGGATTGGTTCAGCCGGGGTAAGGCAGGTGATACACAAGGCAGGTCCATACACAAATGATTACAGGAATGACGGCTGTGAGAGGTGGTAAGGAGGCACAGAGGAGAGTGTAGGATGGATATACAGGCTATAGAAAGAGGGCTCAAACAGCCTTGGGAGATCCCAGATGCCTGCCTGGAGGAATGGGCAGTGGAGCTGACACCAAAGGCTGAGAAGGACTGAGCCAGGGGACAGTGTTCCAGTTGGAGAATCGTCCTCAAGCGTGAAGGAGCCTGGAGCAGTGCACAGGTGGAGTTTCCTGACCTTCAGCGGAGGCCGGGGTACCTGGCTCGGGCATGCAGGAAAGAGAGGCCCAGGGGGGCAGAAAGCACGTGGGCTCCTGGAGCCTCCCAAAAGGCGGGAGCCAAGAGGGGAGGTGGGATTGGGAGGGGAAGCATCCACGGCTGGCAGGTGGGATGAGTAGACACCCAGAGGGCCCACGATGGCTTCTTGGCATTAATGAGCACACCTCCAAGCTGCCTGCAACCTCCCCAGTGTTGAGGAACCCCGCCTTCAGACAGCCTTGTCACACTGCCTGTAGCCAGACAGGGAGGAGGAGTTGCTCTGCACCAAGACCTCAGAGTTGAGTTGATCATCACCCAGGGAGGGGCTTGCTTAGGCAGAACGGAGCACGTGACTGTGGCTCCTCCCCACGCGTGGTGGGCAGGGCAGCCACTCGCCCGGGTCAGGGTTCTCTGTGTCTTGCTTACACAATAGTCCCACACAGACAGGCACAGGGTACCAGGAGTAAGGGCCAAAGCTGCAACCAATT